GTCTTTGATTTTCATCAGTAAGTGCTTCAAGTCCTCTTCACTTTCAGCAAGCAAGGTTGAAAAACACTGGAGAATATCGATGAAGTCAAAAGTTGATTCTTTGAGAAATTCAATAAGCTTGACAAATCTGTAGCCAGACCGATGGTTGGGGGTTGGAGAAGACACCCATGAACAACATTAGGAATGAGTGAGATGACATCACTACAATTTCTACAGATATTAAAAGGATAACAAAAAAATATTACGAGCAACTTTATACAAATAAATTAGACAACTCAGATGAAAACAGATTTCTTAAAAGACACATACTACTCAAGTCTGATCATAAAGAAATCGATAATCTAAAAGGTCCCTTATCTATTAAATAAATTGAATTTATACTTAAAAACTTTTCCACATAGGCCCCGTGTGCTTCACTGGAGAAGTCTATCCAACATTTAAGGAAAAAATAACACCAAGTCTACGCAAACTCTCCCAGAAAATGGAGGAGGGAACACTTCCCAACTCATTCTGAGCCAGCAACACCCTTATATCAAAATCAGAAAAAAAAAATTTCAAGAAAACTACAGACCAACACCTCATGAACAACAATGCAAAAGTTAATAATTAATAACAATTTTAGCAAATCAAACCTAACAACATATAAAAGGAAATTACATCATGACCAAGTGGGGCTTATCCCAGGAATAAAAATTCATTTAACATTAGAAAATCAAAGTAACTGACTATACTAATAGATTCTAAAAGAAAAACCACTCGATTATCTCACTAGATACAGAAAAAGCATACGACAAAATCCTATAGCCATTCCTGATTGAAAACTCTCGGCAAAGTTGGAATTTCTTCAGTCTAATAGACAGCAACTACAAAAGACCTACAGCTAAATGATCAAATGAGGAAAGACTGAAAACTTTGCTCCTGAAATCAGAAACAAGGCAAAGGTGTCATTGTCACTACTTCTCATCAGCATTGTTCTAGAGTTCCTGCCAATGCAAGAAGGCAGGGTAAAAAATAAAATAAATGCATTCAGGTAAGAAAAGAAGTAGTAAAGCTGTCTTTATTTGAATACATGATCGTGGATGTAGAAAATGCTATATAATCTCTAAAAACACTGTTAGAACTATTAAGTGAGTTTAGCAAGCTCGCAGGATATGAGATTAATACACAAAAATCAACGCATCTGGAAACATTAGCCACAAAACAAATGGAAATTAAGTTAAAAAATTACCGCTTACAATGGTGTTGAAGGTTTTAATAGGCATAAATCTGACAACCCCCAAGCATCTGTCAGTTTGTCGTAGTGTGGGGGCCTACGTGTTGCTGTGATGCTGGAAGCTATGCCACCCGTATTCAAATACCAGCAGGGTCACCCATGGTGGTCAGGTTTCAGCTGAGCTTCCAGATTAAGACAGACTAGGAAGAAGGACCTGGTGGTCTACTTCTGGAAGACAGCTACCTGGCCAATCAACTGGAAGAGATCTATTTTATGCCTATTCCCAAGAATGGTGATCCAACTGAATGCGGAAATTGTCGAACAATATCATTAATATCACATGCAAGTAAAATTTTGCTGAAGATCATTCAAAAGCGGCTGCAGCAGTATATTCACAGGGAACTGCCAGAAATTCAAGCCGGATTTAGAAGAGGTCGTAGAACCAGGGATATCATTGCTGATGTCAGATGGATCCTGGCCGAAAGCAGATAATACCAGAAAGATGTTTACCTGTGTTTTATTGACTATGCAAAGGCATTCGACTGTGTGGATCATAACAAATTATGGATAATTGTGACGAATGGAAATTCTACAACAGTTAATTGTGCTCATGAGGAACCTGTACACAGAGGAAGAGGCAGTCATTCGGACAGAACAAGGGGATACTGCATGGTTTAAAGTCAGCAAAGGTGTGCATCAGGGTTGCATCCTTTCACCAGAGTTATTCAATCTGTATGTTGAGCAAATAATCCAAGAAGCTCGACTACATGAAGAAGAACCGGGCATCAGCTTTGGAGGAAGATTAATTAACAACCTGCATTATGCAGATGACACAACCTTGCTTGCTGAAAGTAAACAGGTCTTGAAGCACTTACTGAAGAAGAGCAAAGACCACAGCTTTCAGTATGGATTACAACTTAACATAAAGAAAAGAAAAATCCTCACAACTGGACCAATAAGCAACATTATGGTAAAAAAAGGAAAAACTGAAGTTGTCAAGGATTTCATTTTACTTGGATCCACAATCAATACCCATGCAAGCAGCAGTCAAGAAATCAAAAGATGCATTGCATTGGGCAAATATGCTGCAAAAGATCTCTTTAAAGTGTTGAAGAGCAAAGATGTCATCTTGAAGACTAAGGTGTGCCTGGCCCAAGCCATGGTGTTTTCAATCGCCACATATGCATGAGAAAGCTCAATGATGAATAAGGAAGACTGAAGAAGAACTGACGCCTCTGAATTGTGGTGCTGGTGAAGAATACTGAACTATCCCACGGACTGCCAAAAGAATGAACAAATCTGTCTTGGAAGAAGTACAAACAGAATGCTCCTCAGAAGCAAGGATGGTGAGACTGTGTCTCACATATTTTGGGCACGTTACCAGAAGGGATCAGTCCCTGGAGAAGGACATCATGCTGGTGTGATTTATCCTGATTACCGAGAGGAAATCAGATTGATATTACATAATGGTGGCAAAGAAGAGTATGTCTGGAATGCAGGAGATCTCTTAGGGCGTCTCTTAGTACTACCATGCCCCGTGATTAAAGTCAATGGAAAACTACAGCAACTCAATTTTGACATGACTACTAATGGCCTAGATCCTTCAGGAATGAAGGTTTGGGTCACCCCATCAGGCAAAGGTCCAAGACCAGCTGAGGTGCCTGCTGAGAGCAGAGGGAATACACCACAGGTGGTAGAAGAAAGTGGTTCAAAACACCAGTTATGGCAATGTGACCAGTTGCAGAAACGGGGACTATAATGTTATTTCTTCCTTGTATGTGTGCATAAAATATTTTTGTTTTTTTCCACTTGCAAAATATAAGACGTAAACAGGGCTAGTGTATTTTTGGTTGTATATGTGTTGTACCATGTTAGGTGGAAGTATGACTTTATAACTGTTCTTTATTCAGAGATTATGATGGTTTAAGGAGATGTGTAAAGGTGCCAAGTTGACCAGGGGTGGACTTTGATCGTTAAGGTTGTTTGTCAACTCAGCTGGGCCATGATGCGCAGTGATCTGGCAGTTATATAATTATGCAATCACCTTCATGATGAGATCTGATATAATATGATCACCTCTAGATGGGAACTGCTGTGAATAGCCAAACAGCTGAAAGGGAGTTTCCTTAGGGTGAGGCCTGCATCCAATATAGGTGGACTTTCTGGCAAGGCTCATGGGCTTTTGCTCACTCTGGATCCTCCAACTGGCTCCTGCTTGTCTGACCTCTGATTCTTGGGACTTGAGCTAGCACCTTACCTGCCATCTTGCCTGCCGACCTTGGGATTCAACGGTCTCTGCAGCCTGTGAGCCAGAGCCCTTGTCTGACCTGCCAATCTTGAGTTCTCCAGACCCTGCGGCTACAGGAGAAGCCTCCAGCCTGACTCACGGACTTGAGACTTTCCAGCCTCTGCAACCGCGTGAACCATTTTCTCGATATGAATCTCCCTCTCTATAGATTTACACCCTTTACTGGTTTTGCTTCCTCTAGAGAACCCAGCCTAAGACAGATGTTTTACATTACCTGATTTCAAGACTTCTCACAGAGGTATAGTAATCAAGTCTGTGGTATTCATGCTGAGACAGACATATCAATGGAACAGAATAGAAAGTTCAGAAATAGATCAACACATATATAGTCAACTGATTTTCTACAAAGGTAATTCATCGGAGAAAGGATGGTCTTTTGAACAAATGTTGTTGGGAAAACTGGATATCCATACAAAAAAAATAATTTCTATCCATACCTTGCATCATTTGTAAAAATTAACTCAAAATAGATCATTGCCCTGAACGAAAAACATAAAGCTGCAAAATTCCTAGAAGAATACATAGGAGAAAATATCCATGATCTTGAGTTGGGCGAGAATTTCCCATGTCAACAAAAACATGAGCTGTAAGAGAGAAAAACTGGTAAATGGACTTCATAAAAATTAAGAATTTCTGCTCTTTAAATGGCACTGCTTATCGACTTGATGGCAACAGGTTTTTGTTTTGTTAAAGACAATGAAGAGACAAACCACAGTCTGAGAGAAGACACTTGAAAGGTACTTGTATCCAGAATATATAAACAACTCTGCATGCTCAATAAGAAAACAAACAATAAAAAAAGTGTTCATAGCAGCTTGTTCGTAATTACAACAAGCAAACAAGAACAGGAGACAATGCACATGTGTATCAACAGGAAAACAGATGCAGGGCTGTATTGTCGCAGTATAATACAATGGTCAGAATAAACAAACAACAGTCATAGACAACGACAGAGAGGAGTCACAGAAACTAACGCTTAGTGAGAAATGCAGCTCCCAGAAACGACAAACTGCACAAGGCTGTTCAAAACCAGTTAGAATCAAAGAATAATTTTTCATGTCTGTGCATACATACACACACAAACTACTTAAAAAACCAAGAGAAAGATAAACACACAACTCTAGTCACTGATTGGGGTTCGTGGAGGAAGAGAGAGGAGCGCCTGAGTGATGGGCTCACAGTGCTCATTCCATTATCAACGGATGGATCGATGGGTCGTGTGAGCTGAAACAGGGGCTTGGTGGGCTCAGTCCAAAAAAGAATGAACATACAGATGTTTGCAACTTCATATCTTAACAAATGTTTGATAATAAAACTGTATGCGGCATGCAAAAATGGCATACGAAGCCAATTTACAATCTATGAAACATAAATATGCTCACCTAGCACTTCCGAGATGGCAAAGAATTTCCCAAAGAGGAGACTGGTGTTGATCAAGAAAAAGGAGAAATCTGTATGAAGATTCATTGAAAGCATTACCTGTTATATGTAAACTCCACATCCATAGGTTCAAAGTTATATGCTTGTTCAAATTCTGGATTAAGTTTCAGAGTTACCTCCTCTTCATGAATCTAAAAAAGACAAAAAGCATTTAATTTCCATACATTATACCTGAATTCTTGGAATAAGCTTTTATCTGTATCCAGCAACACACATGAAAAATTCATTCCACAGATTTGAGGTAAAATTTGGTATCTTAAATATCTGTAAAAATAACTGAAAAGGATTAAATCATGATGCCATTAAATTATGCAAACAGAAAGAATTGGCCAATGTTCCTGCCCGTCCTGATGGTGCTCACTGGTCTCCTGCCCACTGGGCCATGCTGTCAGCTAGGCTCAGGGCGACAGGACGCGCAAGGCAGACTTCTTAGCCCAGACAAGCTACACAAACACATCGTGAAAGGCAGAGGGTTACCTGCAAAGTCTCAACAAAAAGGTCACCATGAGACCTCCCTTGCTAGCAGTATAGGGAACTAGATGTTCTGGGAAGCCCTCCAGCTAAAATTAGATCCTCCTTAAAACAGCCCTATTCTTTCCTTGGATAAACAGGGAGGAAGAAAAATGGGAAGGAAAACCCCAGAGCTGGAAAAGGAGCTCAAACTGGATCAATGAGCACACAGGAAGGGCAAAGGGTTGGGAAGCAGAGATGGGGGCACTTTAGACCGAGAGGAGCCTGAGGCTCTGGACTCACAGACCAAGAGACTGGAGAACTTCACTGCAAGTTGGTGGTGTCCCTTGCTCTCAGCAAAGCTAACAGGAGACAAGCTCAACAGAGGCCCCTGGGATTTCCAGAGATAAACAAAGAGGAATCCATAACAAAGGTCACTAAATGCACAAGGAAGCAAATCACCCAGAATAAGGGTCAGCACAAACACAAGGACATCATATACAGAAACTAAATTTACAGATATTTATGAAACTATGTATGAAATTTAAAAAAATGGAATGAAGATAAGCAAGCACAAAACCAAATCAAACTCACTGTTGTCAAGTCGATTCTGACTCATAATGACCCTGCAGGACAGAGAACTGCCCACAGGGTTTCCAACGCTGTAATCTTTACAGAAACAGACTGCCACATCTTTCTCCCAGAGTGGGTGGTGGGTTCAAACCACCAACCTTTTGGTTAGCAGGCAAGTGCTTAAACACTGTGCCACCAGGGCTCCTCCAAGCAAGCACAAGACAGCATAAAAATGATAGGGCAGTATTAAAGAATCAAACGCAACATTTAGAAATGAAAGCTATGCCTATTGGAAAAAACAAAACAAAACTAAAAGGATGAATTCAATAAGTTATTGTTAAGTGCTGTCAAGTGGTTCCAACTTATAGCCACCCTATGTACAACAAAACAAAACACTGCCTGGTCCTGCATCCTCCTCACAATCCTTGCTATGCCTGAACCCACTGTTGCAGCCACTGTGTCAATCCATCTTGTTGAGAGTCTTCCTTTTTTTCACCGACCCTCTACTTTACCAAGCATGATGTCCTTCTCCAGGGACTGCTCCCTCCTGATAACATGTCCAAAGTATGTGAGGCGAAGTCTTGCCATTCTCCCTTCTAAGGAGCATTCTGGCTGTATTTCTTCCAAGACAGATTTGCGCATTCTTTTGGCAGTCCATGGTATATTCAGCATTCTTCGCCAACACCATAATTCAAAAGCATCTGTTCTTCTTCGGTCTTCCTTATTCATTGTCCAGCTTTTGCATGCGTATGAGGTGACTGAAAATACCATGGCTTGGATAAGGTGCACCTTAGTCCTCTAAGTGGTATCTTTGCTTTTCAACACTTTGAAGAAGTCTTTTGCAGTAGATTTGCCCAATGCAATACTTCGTTTGATTTCTCGTCTGCTGCTTCATGGGCATGATTGTGGATCCAAGTAAAATGAAATCTTTTGACAACTTCAATCTTTTCTCCATTTATTATGATGTTGCTTACTGGTCCAGTTGTGCAGATTTTTGTTTTCTTTTTGTTGAAGTGTAATCCATATTGAAGACTGTAGTCTTCGATCTTCATAAGTAAGCGCTTCAAGTCCGCTTTGTTAATGAGTCTTCCTTCGATTCTGATGCTGCATTCTTCTTCATATAGTCCATCTTCTCAGATTATTTGTTCAGCATTCAGATTGAATTAATATGATGAAAGGATGCAACCCTGACACACCTTTCTTGATTTTAAACCATGCAGTATCCCCACTGTGTTTGAACAACTGCCTCTTCATCTATGTACAGGTTCCACAAGAGCACAATTAAGTGCTCTGAAATTCTCATTCTTCACAATGTTATCTATAATTTGTTATGATCTACACAATCAAATACCTTTGCACAGTCAATAAAACACAGGTAAACATCTTTCTGGTATTCTCTTCTTTAAGCCAAGGTCCGTCTAACACCAGCAATGGTATCTCTCATTCCACATCCTCTTCTGAATCCAACTTGAATTTCTAGCAGTTCCCTGTTGATGTACTGCTGCAACCTTTTGAATTATCTTCAACAAAATTTTATTTGAGTGTGATATTAATGATATTGTTCAATTATTTCTGTATTCTGATGGACCCTTCTTTGGAATGGGCACAATTATGGATCTCTTCCAGTTCACTGGCCAGGTAGCTGTCTTCCAAATTTCATGGCATACACAAGTGAGCGCTTCCAGCACTGCCCCATTTGTTGAAACATCTCAGTTGGTATTCCATCAGTTCTTGGAGCCTTGTTTTTTGCCAATGCCTTCAGTGCAACTTGGACTTCTTCAATACCAGCGGTTCTTGATCATATGCTACCTTCTGAAATGGTTTAACATTAGCCAATTCTTTTTGGTACAGTGACTCTTATGTATTCCTTCCATCTTCTTTTGATGCTTCCTTCGTTGTTCAATATTTTGCCCACAGAATCCTTCAATATTGCAACTCAAGGCTTGAATTTTTTCCTCAGTTCTTTCAGGTTGAGAAATGCCGAGCATGTTCTTCTCTTTTGGTTTTCTAACTCCAGATCTTTGCACATGTCATTGTAATGCTTTACTTTCTTCTCCAGCCACTCTTAAAAATGTTCTGTTCAGCTCCTTTACTTCATCATTTCTTCCATTCACTGTACTCACTCATGTTCAACAGCAAGCTGCAGAGTTTCTTCTGACATCCACTTTGGTCTTTTCTTTCTTCATTGTCTTTTAAATGACTTTTTGCTTTCTTCATGTATGATGTCCTTGATGTCATCTCAAAACTCACTTGGTCTTTGGTCATTAGTGTTCAATGTATCAAATCTATTCTTGGGATGGTCTCTAAATTCAGATGGGATATACTCAAGGTCATACTTTGGCTCTCATAGACTTGTTTTAATTTTCTTCAGTTTCAACTTGAGCTTGCATAGGAGTAACTGATGGTCTGTTGCACAGTCAGCCCCTGTCCTTGTTCTGACTGAAGATATTGAGTTTCTCCATCGTCTCTTTCCACAGATGCAGTTGATTTCATTCCTGTGTCTTCCATCTGGTGAGGTCCACATGTGTAATTGTGTTTTACGTTGTTGAAAAAGGTATTTCCAATGAACAGGTCGTTGTCTCGCAAAATTCTATGATGTGATCTCTGGCGTTGTTTCTATCACCAAGGCCGTATTTTCCAACTACTGATCCTTCTTTGTTTCCAACTTTTGCATCCAATCACCAGTAACTATCAATGCATCTTGATTGCATGCTGGATCAATTTCAGACTGCAGAAGCTTGTAAAAATCTTCAATTTCTTCATCTGTGCCCTTAGTGGTTGGTACGTAAATTTGAACAGTATGTAACTGGTCTTCCTTGTAGGTGTATAGATATTATCCTTTCACCGACAGTGTTGTACTTCAGGATAGATCTTCAAATGTTCTTTTTGACAGTGAATGTGACGCCATTCCTTTTCAATTTGTCATTCCTGGCATACTGGACCAAATGACTGCCTGATTCAAAATGGCCAATACCAGTCCATTTCAGCTCACTAATGCGTAAGACATCTATCTTCAAGAATTCCACTTCATTTTTGACAACTTCAATTTTCCTAGAGTCATACTTTGTACATTCCATGTTCTGATTATTTATGGATGTTTGCAGTGTTTCTTCGCATTTTGAGTTGTGCCACATTAGCATATGAAGATGCTGAAAGTTATACTCCACTCATGTCATTAAGGCTGACTCTATTTTGAGGAGGCAGCTCTTCCCCAGTCATATTTCAAGCTCCTTCCAACCTGAGGGTTGTATCTTGCTGCACTATATCAGATAATTTTCCGCTGCTATTCGTGAGGTTTTCACTGGCCAATTTTTTTGGAGTAGATTGCCAGGTCCCTCTTCAGAGTGTCAGTCTGGAAGCTCCTCTAAAACCTGTCCAGCACGCAAGCCACCCCAGTACGACAAACTGACAGACATGTGGGGGATTTAAATAGGAGACTAAACATAAGTGAAGAATTCACGTATCTGAAGAGAGCTACAGTAAACTTAGGAGCCCTAGTGAAGTCCCAGTGGTGCAGTGGTTAAGAGCTTGGCTGCTAACCAAAAGGTCAGCAGTTCGAACCCACCAGCCTAGAATCTGACCGCTGCGTCTCATCTCCAATGCTACTGGTTGAGATGCTCAGAGTCTCCCCGCAACCTGCTGTGACCACCCTGCCTTCCGTCTGTCCCCAATACCGTCTGATCGTGTCACTCTCGGAAGTACTAACAATCTCCAGTCGTCCATAACCATGGCACGTCTCCTCATGGATTTGTCTCCTTTAACATCTCTTCAATGAAGTTTGATAATTTTCCCAGGAAAGATCCTGAACTTCTTTTGTTAGATTTAGTCCTAGACACTTGACAGTCTTTGATTCTACTGGAAATAGTATCTCTATTTGATTGATGTTTTCTATGTCTTGGTGTAACAGATCTTTGCTATGTTAATCGTATATCCCACAACCTTACTAAATTCAACTAATCAATCCCTATCATTTGTCTATAAATTGTTTTGGGTTTCCATGTAAATACTGTCATCTGCAAATAATGAGTTTTATTTCATCTTTCGCAACCCTTATGCCTCCAATTTCTTTTGCCCAATTTTGGTGGCTAATGTTGACTAAAAGTGGTGA